GCATCTAGTAGAGAGAGATATTTTGTTGCTTTTAATTTTGACTGATATTCCAGGTAATTTTCTGGATTTTTCCATAGGACTGAATTGGATCCAGAAATCTAGTGCTTGGCGGTTGACATTCCCAGGAGCAGTTCAGTCCTTTGGACTCTTCTGTATTTAATTAAAATGCAGGGGGTTTTTTTTTGGTTCTTCTGATGATCATTCCTTAAAATAATGCCATGGTATTCTAATTTGGAATGGGGAACTTGGTGAGGAAGCATGCAGTCATCTTATGGATGGCAAGAACTGTCTCCTTCTTTTAAAAGGAGGTTTTCAAAACAGATTTGTTTCCCACTCGGCAACTGCAATTAATGCCACACTTAAGAAAGCTTAAAATACCACCTTTTGTTATAAATTATGTACCAGTTGGACATGATTATGACTTTGGCTGCTTATTAGATCATTCAAGAAAGCTCAGCCTCCTTCTTCATTCATTTCTTTGTCTCTCTTAATATCTTCCCAACAAAAGCAAATTATAGCTGGTTTGTAATAGAACTGAAACTCATCTGTAACATGGCATGTGCAGTTCTTAGTCACATATTTGCTTTACCCTGATCTAAAATACAGCCATCTCTTTGGACCAGAACTCAAGGGCTGGCTAATTTGTGGAACTGTTCACTGCCAGACAGGTGGACAATCAAGACTTCTGACAGGACGTAAAGGAGGCTGGATTGTCTTAAGGGCACTGTTTGCCTTTCCTCTTTGAATTCCAAAAATAGCAACTCAACAACTGTACTTTACATTTTCAAAATTTCTACAACATCATATAAACCTTTAGTGTTCTGTACATGTTGGAGTTGGTCAAGAAATGCCACCTCCAGGAGTAAAAAAAAACACAATCAATAATACTCATATATGACACAGATTTTCTCTAAATTACTATTTTTCTTACTGTCAGCTCTCCTTCCAATTTCATGCTTCCCAACTGCTCAATTTTAATACAATGGCACATTCTAGGTGTTCAACAATAGTCACTAAGGAACAAATAAAGGAAATATGCCGTGAGCCAAACAGGAGTGCACCACTCAAATATTCTTTGTTCTTCTTGAACCCAAAAGTAGTAATTAATACATGTTTGTCCTCCCACTGATCTTTGCTTGGTAATTCCTGATGTCCTCTTTCAAGCAGAGGCTTCTACCCTAATGTAGGCCTTTACCCCAGAATCCAGCCAGTCCTACATGGGAAGAGAAGGAAGTCCAGGAAATAGAGGAAATGATGGTCATGGACAAGAGCTGATGGAAGGCTTGTCTTGGTCCGTTCTCATTATGAACACAGTCCCCATAGTTAACGGGTGGAGCCACCACAGTTAGCCAGTGACAGGTTGCTTTCACTCAGTGCAGTTCTTCATCCAGATAGAATCACCGCATATAATGACACATGATCAGATATGAAAAAAAAATCTCATTAGGAGCTACTGATCTTTCTGTAGTGATCTCTATGTTAAAAGTTAGTAATGATCGTCTTGGATGTTAACCCTAATCTGAAACATACCTTCGTGAAAGCCTTACTCATCATTGTGCTGACTAACACAATATTATAGCCTGAGAAGCCTCTCCCATAACTCAGTAGTTTGTGTTTTGTAAGGGAAGTAAAGAAGTAGGGTACACATCCTACTTGTACCCCATGTGTATAACATAGAAACACACTAGGACAGTTCACATAAGTTCAAAGTGAGATAAGTATCATTTGGATAAACAAGAACATGGTGATACTCTGCTCAGTATTTTCATATTGTGTTTGGTTTATGCCTTTGAACATATGTAGAGGGGAATGATCAGGAGAGTGAGAGATCGAAAATCCATACGTAGAGAAATGGTTGAAATGGACTTTAGCGGCCCCCCTCACCCAGGATACTTTTAAAGAGGACTGGTGACTGGCCTCAAATATTAATGATGTGTTCCATGCAGCTGCAGATAGCAGTACTACAGCTGGCGAGTAGAGCTCTGAGAGGTGTATTCAACACTACAAGGGATCTTCAAAAAGCTCTTGGAAAATGTCTATTATGAAACAACTGCATGTATTTCAATTCTTTAAGGTATATAAGTGAGAGAACTTCTTTAAAGTGAGAGAGTGAGAATATATTCAGGCATGAGGGTGGGCAACTCCATGAGGAGAGAAACTAACCATGACAGGGCCAGAGAACTGCCCATGAAGACAAAGAACAGGAGCAGGCAAGAGAAGGGAGGCCGAAAAGAAGGCTACATTTTTTTGAACTCAAATAAACTTATGTTTTAATTCCAGTTTTCCATGAACTCCTTGCAGTACCCTCATATAAACAATAACCATGAAGTAGGGTTGCTGTCTGGAGGCAATGAGCTCCTCATCCCAGGGGACTTAGAGGGGAAGCTTGAAGATTGCCTCTCAGATGCTGTTGAGATAAGTGTCTTCCTCCAAGACTCCGGCCATCTGACATAAGACAGAGGGGCACAGATGACCTATAGCAGCTGCCCAAATGTTTGCCCTGTGTGCCATGGGGAAGGGGATGGAGGGAGAATTGATTCCTTTGATTGGGATTAAGTGGAAAGTCTTTTTTTTTTTTTCTTGCTTTCTCTTTCTCTCCCTCTCTCTTTCTCTCTCTTAATTCATTTGAAAGGTCTCATGGCAAGGTAGGATTGTTTTTTTTCTTTTTTCAGGACCTGTTTAGAGAATGTGGTAAGAGTCCAGATGGTGGGGAAATGGGAAGCCATAGGTGGGGAAAACTCAAAAATGAAGATGGAATGGTTGATAGCATGGGTCTTAATTGTGCTTGGGTAAAGAGCATAGTTAAAGACTGAGAGGAATAAAGGAAAAATGGGTCTTCAGTAAATAATGGATCCACATAAACGATAGGAAGACAATACCATTTCAGTGTCAAGTTTTTAATCCCATGAATACTCATAGCTGCTCTCAGCCCCACCCACTAAGTGGTTCCATCGCCAACTCTAAGTTCTTCCTGATGCTGAGACTAGCAACGGTGAGTATGCCTCATGATGGAGAGATGTGCATCTATCTCTCCACGGGTTTTCAGGTGATTGCTCGGGGATTCCATGTATTCCAAAATGAATCTTACCGTGTATGTCTCTTCCCTTAATTTTTAAAGCAACAAATATTTTCAAGATAATGAACGGATGGTTCACAGGTGGTGAAAAGCACATTTCCTAACAGAAGTCTGTGTCGGTCTGACAGTGCTGCGTTATACTTCAGATCTGTCCATTAAACTAAAAGGCATTATTTCCTATGAGGGTTATAATGTATTTCTTTAAAATTTCTGTCATCCAAACAAAAGAAATGATCATACATGTCAAGTTATCCAAATCATATGAAGTTTAAGTAGGAGAAAACTTGAATGTATTCTAACTGGGAACACAAAGCTTTAACTTCACAAATACTAATTCTTTTTCTCTGAGGTCTGGCATATAGTTTAAAAATAAAAAATCTTCTTCCAAGGATTAAGTCTAAAGCTAACTTAATATTGTGAGTTTAGAATTGAAAATGAGGCTGACTCTTGGCAGTATGAAAACTTGCCAGTGCCCTTCTGAGCTCTTTAAATAGGATCATGCTGTGCACACATTGCAGTTATTTTAGGTTAAATACGCGCAGTGTAGCATTCTGCCAGGAGACGTGTGTGACAAAGCAGAGACACGAACAGACTCAAACCAGAAAAATAGTCCCAGAAATGCCCTCTGCATCCAAACAACGTTATTTTTCATGAGAAGAAAGTTCCTTATTGGGATGGGACATGGAGTATTGCCTTCATACCATCTGTATTTCCTAAATGATTACTGTTGAACTGAATTATAAAGAGGCTCCAATTGGCAAAGATCCATCTCTAACCAGACCATACGACCCCATGGAACCAGCTATTGATTTACAAAAACAGAAAAGAGTGATTTAAAAAAACAAAAAGACGTATTATCTGAATTATAGAGAGAGATCATCCATCTACTGGTTCACTCCCGAAATGGTCGCAATGACCAGGGCTGGCCAGGCCAAAGCCAGGAGCCAGGTCTTCATCCAGGTCTCCCACATGGGTGGCGTGGCCCAAACACTTGGTCCATCCTTCGCCGCTTTTCCCAGGCCATTAGCAGGGAGCTGGATAGGAAGTGCAGCAGCCAGGACAAGAAATGAAATGGCATCCATATAGGATGCCAATACCACAGGCAGTGGCTTTATCTGCTATACCACAATACTAGCCCAAAAAGAGTGACTTTAATAACTTAAAGAAACTAATTCAGAAGCCCAGATCCAATAATTCAGAAATCCTTACTCTGATATAATGACCTTCATGCCAGATCAGATTACCTGGAAAAAAAAAAAAAAAAGACTCTGCCACCAGTGCAGCTCAGCACTGCTCACAGAGAACCAAAAATAGTCAAGTGGTATCTGATTATAATTCAAAAGCAAAGGAAAAGCTCTTTTCCTCACCACCTGTCCAGCCCCCTCTTCCTTAGGCACTCCCATGAGTCCTCTTCCACTCTGTGTATATGTGTGTGTGTGTGTGTATCTATAATATATATGTGCATATATATTATATATAAACACAGAGAGAAAGGGGGAACTAGGGAACAGCAAACAATTTGCAGAAATCACCATCTGCTAAACAGCCCTTTAAGAGGCCGTTGGTACCCAGGCAGTGACTTCCAAGGTCGCTGAAGCAGTAAGTGTTCATCTCCTATTGGTCATCAACGAATAAAACTAAGCTCCTGAGTTTCTAAATTCGGCTCTAAAAAATAAATACTTGACTTCGTTAAAAGGAAACCTCCGAAAAATACTTTTCCTGCCACTGAAAAGTGGAGGGAAATGAAAACGCTCCCTTGGGTCCCTCCCGGCCCCCAGGCCCAGGGGGTTTCTGAGTGCCTGCATGTGGTGCCCCGAGGGACAGAGGAGACTGTGTGAGTGCATGGGCCAGGCAGGTCTTGGGGAAGCGTGCGTGGGCAGGAAGCACATTTCTGATCTCTAGTTTGCATTGATCTTGCATTTAGACACAGATTCAGAAGAACAGACCCTCCCTTTTCCAGTGCCTTCGGAAAGATTGCCGCTCCGTAGAATGAGTCCTTTCTCCTCCACCCTTAATCTACAAGCCAGCTTCCCGGGGAGAGCCTACTTTGGTTTCCGATCCTCACCCCACCAGCAGAGTTTGCATTCCTCTTTACAGTCTCTCAATGCACCCGGTGAGCTGAGCTCTCAGCCCTTTCTCTGCAGCTCTGAGCCTTGGGGGCACCTCTGAATTACCTGTTTCGTTCTCGCTGTTCATGTGCGGGTGAGGGGGATGAGCTAGTCTCTGTGTCTGTGGCCTGCTTCCGGGAGGAGGAGCCCTTGGACTATGGCGTTTTGTGGCATTCTCGTTTGTGTGGCGTGAGGACCACCTGTGAGGCTGTGGTCGTTGTATAATGGCATTGGAAAGTGATGAGTGAAGCAGTTCTTTTTGCACAAGCTGGTCCCACCGTAGATACCCTGCTCTGTCATCACGCGCAGTGGCCTAGCACGGCACCGGGCTGGCTGGGTGGAGGCCGTGGCAGTACTGCGCAGGGTTGCAGCCCTTCTGTATCCAGGAAACCAGCTGTGGCTGGAGACTGGATCAGTGCATCCAGCCTGGAGTGGTCTGATTAAACATAGACTCAAGAGATCTTTACTGACAAAATAATAATAATAAAATAAAAAAAAAAAAAACACCAGCTGCAGAATTCATCTTACAAAGCAAGCAACCCAGTGAGCAGAAAGTAAAAGCATTTTATGCAAAAGCCTGTGCTCCCTGGGAGGAGCTCACAGCTGATGGTTTTCCTAACAAAGAGGAGGGACCGGTCCTGGCTTCATTAGAAACCCTTAACTCCCAATGCCCAGTGCCCAAAGATCTGAGTAATTAAAAAGTCCGGCCCCTGCAAAGTCTCCCACAGTCGAGCCGGTGAGACCGGGCTTCTAGCTGACTGCAGGGGCGGTGAATGCCGTCTAGCAAGCAGAATCTTAAAATACCCAGGATGCAGACTCATTTGATCTCTTCAGGACTATATTGTAATCATGGATACACGTGATGCACATTTCACATTTCCAAAGGTTTCTTTTGCTTTTTATTTTATTCTTTTGGCTCATCCCACATCCTGGAATGAAGAAGGCCACAGCATGACAGTGCAAAAAGGATGCAGGGACTTCAAGCTCTCTTGAAAATGATGTTTTCCTTTGTGCTTTTCCGTTTCCTATTGTTTTTCTGTGCACTACTGGCTTCCAACATGCTTTGTTCTGGAACACCTTTCACTGTGTCTAATGTACTGCAATATTGTATGGTCTTTGTAATGTATATTGTCTTCAGAATAACATGAAATGTGGGTTTGGAGATTTTTGATGGTTGTATTTAATGCAATGTTATAGTTGTACTGTTGAATCTTACATGTATGATGGTGGGTTTAAAGTAGTATAAAAAATTCAGAATACTTGTGAAAAAACTTGCACAAGGCATGATTCATTTAAAAATTGTTAAAGCCCTATTCAGATTCTACAAATTTATTTCCAAAGATGGCTGTGAGATTCAGTTTTACAACTCTGAATGCTCCATACTCGTCATGCTCTACCCATGAGCAGGAATGGAAGTCACAGTGGAGAGACCCTAAACATAAAAATCATTATGAGTCAGAAGAAAATGATTTTTTTTTGAAAGTGAAATCATCACAGGGTAAAATTAACTGACCAAAAACTAAAGCCATAATCTTTAAATTTTATTTTAATTTGGTCATTAGTCCTCTTTTGTAGTACGTTTCTTTTTAAAACTTGTGAATTTCTTTTAAGTCAATGCATTATTCTTCAATTGTTTTAGAAATTAGCACATAGGGCCTTACTAAAACAAAAAAAAATGAAATGATTTTTTCTCTGCTGCTCATCAAAACCACGTTTTCTAGATCAGTCCCCAACACATGCTTGGAAATTATGCATTATTCATGGTTAAGCATTTTAAGATGAGATCATCCTCCTCCATCCCAAGGCAGCTTCTCTTGGGGTAGGGGACCCAAATGTTAGGGAAGGGCGCAGTGGAAAAAGTTACAAGGTGATCCCAACGATCTCTGAGCCCACACCCACTGCCACCATCCCTCAGCCCCTTCAGGGGAGGATTGACGTAGTAGGAGAAATGGAAAAGGTGTCTGTAATTTAACGGGGGCCCAAATCCTGAGAAAGCCCATTCAGCTCAGCCACAGTTAGAGAGGCAGGAAATGGTGGTCCACAGCAGTGTTTCATCAGGGATCCAGGAACTTTCGCACTTCAATGGGGTAAATTTTTCTCATTTTTAAAACAGTCAGTTTTCTTAATGCAGAAGAATTAGTGGAAAACATTGAACTTGGAAGATGATGAAAATTTAAGCTGCAGAGTTTAGAATCAATTGGAGGAGGACTTATTAAATGGTAAGAAGATGAACTTTTTAAAGAGCAGAAAAGCATTAATATCCAGCCAAGTAAGTTGACGTAAAAAGGGCAATGTTTTTTCATGAATCAGGCCTTAGTGACTATAGTCACCTGGTGCTTTCTAAGTGTATACAGATAATTTCTATCATCGGTTGTTTCATAGCTTTGATGTGTAGTATCTCTTTATAGGATGCAATTTTGAGACACAGTCTGCACCTTACTCTCAATTAGGCAAGTATCCCTATTGTAATTGTTACTTCTACTTGTGTGATTGGTGTGCTCACAATTTCCTTTTCAAAATAAATGGCAGCAGCTTATCTTACATCAATAAAATTGTCTAATTGTCATTCTAACTCCGTTATCAGTTTCTCAAATTCTTGGAGGAAATGGGAAAGATGCCTGTATTTTTTAATGTTATAGCCCAAACTTACCTCTCCCCACTCCCTACCCCCACCCCCAGTTTTTATAAGTCAACCTAAAGCCCTCTTTATGAGCCCTAATGCAGATAACGATACGAGTCAGACCGACTGTTGCAGTGTGTGCCGTATTGTAGACTGAGCTCTTTTTGGGTAGTCGTCTATCAAAAGAGGCATGCTTTCTTATCGATGTCACTTTTGCTTCCTGTTTCTCTCCCCCATGCCTTTCACTTGGGACGCCCACAGTTGACATTAAAAAGCTGTTGGCAGGTATGGAATCAGCTTACTCTGTTGTGAATAGCAAAGACCGGAGTGCATGCGAGGTGGCTCACAGGTGTAATAAATCAGGAACTCTGTCTCGCCAGACGGTGTTATTTGTAGGCAGCTTTTAGAATTTGGGGCATAACAACTTGTAGGAAGACATCATTCTGTCTGCACCTACTATCCACAAAGGCTTCGGCTCTGGCAAAACATTGTGCGGTTAGTTTTAGGAGTAACACACAGTCTGTATGTTCAGTATGGAGGAAGCAAAGTGTCCTGCACCCAAGTCACAGTCGCTCATGAAAATCAGTTGACGTTGCAGATAGCCTCACAGCCCATGAGCTTTCCTTAGAGCCAAGGTAACTGTCAAAGTGAGTAGATTCCAGCACTTCTGCCGAAGGGATATTTCCTGCCTTCACTCCGTGTGTTTTATCCCCCCTCCATCCAGGGCTCTAGATCCTAGCCTCCCTGCCTCAGGGGTCACACAGGCTTAGTGCATCCCCTCTCCCTTTATGCCTCTGGTGCACTGTTCTGCCGGTCACCAGGCGAAGGAACTTACACCTTCCAAAACCGATGCCACTTCACTCCCGGATCAGCTGGTGGGGAGTGCAGTCTAAGCCAGGTAACCCCTGCTGAATCGGTCGTGTGTCCTCTGCCTGCTTCTGGGGCAGAGAGTACCAGCTCCCAGGACGTGCCCCTGTCTGCTCACTCACGGCCTCTCCGGCCCCAGGCACGTCCCCGCCCCCGCATGGCAGCATGAAAACGCAACACAGTGCACCTCACCCGCCCAGGAGTGTGTTCTGATGCTCAGCTTGCCGGGTGCACCTTAGTAACCCAGTTCCTCTCTGTTCTTCCCAGTGGCCTGGTTCGCTTTTGACCCTGGCTCGGCGCACTCAGACATCATCTTCTCCAATGACAACCTGACGGTGACCTGCAGCAGCTACGATGACCGGGTGGTGCTGGGGAAGACCGGCTTCTCCAAGGGCGTGCACTACTGGGAGCTCACGGTAGACCGCTATGACAACCACCCTGATCCTGCCTTTGGCGTGGCTCGCATCGACGTGACGAAGGATGTGATGTTAGGAAAGGACGACAAAGCCTGGGCAATGTATGTGGACAATAACCGGAGCTGGTTCATGCACAGCAACTCGCACACAAACAGGTACCCTGCAGCCCCCAAACCAAGCCTTCTTCACGTTGGCTTCCGGTCAGGAGAGCGAGCCCAAGTTCAAAGCCTTCTTACAAGGGCAACATTAAGGAAGTGCAGCAGGGGCTGGGCTTCATTAAGAAGCACAGGCGATGCACTGCTCTTAGTGGAGTCTGTACTGGTGGCTTATTTTCTGCATTGCTGAACCCCACCTGTGGCCTGAAACTCAGAGTACCCAGGCATAGCCATCGTAAACCACCCAAGATTCTGAAACCTACACCTGCAGCGCGTCAGAAAAGTGCTTGGGGGACAAGTCGCCTCATGTTTCCGAACCTCAGTTAACAAAGCCACCAAACTGGGATAATAATATTTTCCCACACAGAAATGTTCTAGAGATGAAATGAGATGTGTGAAGATGTCTCCTACTGGAGACACCTGAAAACATAGCGACCATGCTTGTTACGCTAGTTAACAACACTTCTACTCAGAACAGAAGCTGCTCCTTAAACCAAGGCTTAGGGATGCCGATCAGGATAGCTTTGTACTCGGAGAATCCTCTCAATGTATGAAAGAAGACATCCAGTTTGCTGAGACTAAGAGAATACAGTAGTTTCCTTAAGGTTTCCTTCTGGCGCCAAAATATAGAAATTATAATTTAATACATACTTTCCATTTTCCCCCTGGTCTTCTGTTTTCATTAAGTTGTGTTCTTTTCACAGATTTCCTAAGCAGAGAATGTCTTTTGTTTATCCCCCAGGATACGTTCTCATTGGTGTTGCTGCAGTGGCGGGGTCGGGGGTGGGGGGAATCCAGCTTTGTATTTGAGTGGTAGAGTTACAGACAGAAAGAGGGAGAGACAGAGAGGTCTTCCATCCACTGGTTCACTCCCCAAATGGCCCCAACAGCCCAGAGCTGTGCCGACTGGAAGGAGCCAGGAGCTTCCTCTGGGTCTCTCACTTGGGTGCAGGGGCCCAAGCACTTGGGCCATCTTCCACTGCTTTCCCAGGCCATAGCAGAGAGCTGGATCAGGAGAGGAGCAGCCAGGACTCAAACCGGGGTTCATATGGGATGCCAGCACCAGAGGCGGAAGATTAATCTGCACCCCAGCGCTGGCCCCATGCACTCTTCCAACTAAGGGAGTAGAGACGCGGCTGTCTTCAGTGGTTGACATTTTGGGGAACTCTCTGACACAGGATTCCTTTACATCACCAATACCCCATGCTTACATTTTCCCTTTTTGCCTCTTTCCTTTGGAGGAAAGGAGTGGATAAGTAACACTACCAGCACACGAAGCAGAGAAACACGTTCTTAAGGCCGAACACGTCTGCTTGCTTGCTAACTGCATGTCACTTGTGCTGTCACTGTTAAACCTGGGAATGACAAGATGCTATTTGTAAACCTGTCCTTCAGTGGCTGTGAACAGCCAATATTCTGCACGCAAGAGGAAATGAATGGCAATTCTGAAATTCCTGTGCTCTGCTGAGATGAGGAGGAAGTTCAGTATTGTTAGAGAAGGAACAAACACAAAACTGATCGTCCATGTTTAATAGTATTTTGCGAGTCCATCAACTGAAGCACAAGACAGAGTTTTGTGAGATCAGTGAAATGCAGGTTCCTTAACACCACTACATTTCCTGTCATGTAATTACCTCCCCTCGCTGGGAAGAATCCCCTTCTGCAGTGTTGTCACTTTAAGGACAACCTCTAACTTCTTAGTTGAAATTCAACATGCTAAAAATTAGCATCTTTCTGGAATGAATTTTCCATTTCATGGGTAGCATAAAACCCCAAATCCAATTTTTATGCATATGCTGTAGGTTCAACCTAAGAGCTTCTTCATTTTGACGTTCAGATTAAGTTGTTTTATATTTAACGACGCTTCATAGCTACAGTGAGAGCGCTGAGAGCTGGAAGCCTGTGTTTTCTGCTGCTGGGCCCAGTGGCAGTGGCGCTGTGTGAACGAATTCAGTCGCAGCGACGCAGAGCAGCTCATGCCTTCTCGTCAGGGGCAGCTCTCTCCCCCGAGGGAGGGACAATGGGTGGGATGAGGACAAAACTGTGCAACCTTTTTATATCTACATGAATCACAGACACAGTCAGCACATACACAAGCGTGTGGTATTAAAACACTGTGCGGCGGGATCATTAGGAGAAAACAATGTTTAAAAAGCCTGGGGGGGTGGTAGGGGCAGTAATTTGAAACAGGCTGAAAAGCACTGGTTTAATTAACTATTTTAAAAAAGAAGAAAAGAGGAGCTTCTAGAATGAAACCTACTCATTTTCTTTTCCCACAGAACCGAGGGAGGGATTGGAAAAGGGGCCACCGTCGGGGTCCTCCTCGACTTAAACAGAAAAACGTTGACGTTTTTTATCAACGATGAACAGCAAGGTCCCATTGCGTTCGAGAACGTGGAGGGCCTCTTCTTCCCTGCCGTCAGCCTCAACAGGAACGTGCAGGTAAGCACCTCGCCCCCGGAAGCCGACGCTGCTCCCGCCGCCGCAGCATCCGAGGCTGCTGGTGGGCAGCCGGGGCAGACCCCAGAGAAAAGCTGAGAGCGTAAGGCCGAGGCTGTGGCTCGGAGGACAGGGGAGAGGGGCCCGACGTGCACAACCGATGTGACTCCACGTCGGCCTGAGCCCCTTCTTTATACGGGGGACTTCACAAAGGACATGGGAAAGTGGAATTCAAAGACAAATTTATTTTGGTGCCCAAAACTTTGAAATCCAGACATGTCATCACAACGTTGATGGAAAATGCACATTATGAAAAAACTATGCATGATCTCAAATTTTTTGGCACCAAATTGTACTTATCTTTTAATTCCCGTTTTTTCCATGAACATTGCGCAGTACCCTCATACTTGACCACGGTGTAGTTAACAGCACGTGGGAAAGTGGAAGTCTTCCTGGTGGCTAATGATCATCCCTCCAAGTTTTAGCTTCACCTCCAAGAGTGAGAAGACTTTAACCAACTAGCATGAAAACAAACGCAACAAGAGGTGAAGATGTAGCTGGAAGTTGTCAGTTTCAAGATCAGAAAATCTGAGCCTCTTCTCTGTGCTCTTGTCCAGCTTAGTCAGGTGCCATGAGAGTAGAAAACCCAGTTCCTGAGGGCCGGCACCGTGGCTCATTCGGTTAATCCTCGGCCTGCGGCGCCAGCATCCCATATGGGCGCCAGGTTCTAGTCCCGGTTGCTCCTCTTCCAGTCCAGCTCTCTGCTGTGGCCCAGGAAGGCAGTAGAGGATGGCCCAAGTGCACGGGAGACCAGGAGGAAGCACCTGGCTCCTGGCTTCGGATCGGCATAGCTGCAGCCATTGCAACCATTTGGGGGTGAACCAGCGGATGGAAGACCTTTCTCTCTGTCTCTCTCTCTCTCTCTCACTGTCTAACTCTATCTGTCAAATATAAAAAGAAAACCTAGTTCCTGCCTTAAGACAGTTACTTATGATTTACTGTAGATATGAAACAAGTTCCTCTGATTCATTCATTCATCAAACAAATACATATAGAGTGCCTTTAACATATCAGTGCGGGGGAGGGATAAAAATCATTAGCTCTCACTGTGGTTACAAGAGACAGGTGAAGACTTGTAAGCGTAATGATAGCATTAGTTATACAGTGTGTCAGAAAGAGAAGAGTACAGTGGAGAGAAGACCCAGGATGAGCAAAGGAATCGAGAGAGTGCTGGGCTGTGGAAGGCACCTGGAGTCTGATACAGGAGGGCCGGTACAGGTAGGCCTTCCTGCAGGCACAGGTGAACCGAGCTTGGGCAGCGGGGAACGAGCTGTGCAGAGCCTTCCGGGCAGAGGGAGCAGCCAGTGCAAAGGGCCTGAGGCCTCCCAGAGGCAGGGAAGGGCAGAGAGGCCAGTGCGCTGCGAGTGGAATGAGAGGGCTCAGAGCCCAGCCAGCCACCATCAGGACTCAGGATGGAGGATTTCACCCTCCTGAGCTGAACCTCCCATTAGCAGCCATCAACCTCATCCAACCAATGGCTGCCTGAGGACAGGGCATGAGAATCAAGTGACTGCAGGTGATTTTTAGAAACTCACTATTGTCTAACTCACTGAGCCCTGCCTTCTGTCTTCAGCCTCTTTCCGAGAGGCTGAAATCTAATCTCTCCAAGTTCAGCCTTCACATGGTAAGAAATAAAACCATCAATTTCCCTAGAAGAGAAATGCAGGAAGACCTCGTTCAGAGCTCTCCAAGTTTTTTAGCTGTTTCTTTCCAAAGAATGTCATACTGGATGCGCCTTAGGGATGTCCAGAATGTTCTGAGTATCTATAGACAAAGGCACTGACAAGGAAAGACAGGGTGAGCATCCCCAGTCTGAAAATTCAACATCTGAAATCCTCCAAATCCCAGAAGGGTTTTTTCTTTTAAGTTTATTTGTTTATTTTTATTTGAAAGGCAGAGCCATGGAGAGAGAAAGTAAGAGATCTTCCATCCGCTGGCTTACTCCCTAAATACCTGCAACAGCCTAGGCTGGGCCAGGCGAAGCTGGAACTCCATCCAGGTCTCCCACATGGGTGGTAGAGACCCACGTCCTTGAGCCATCCTCTGCTGCCTCCCAGTGTGCACAATAGCAGGGTGCCGGATCTGAAGTAAAGTTGGGGTGCTGATATGGGATACAGGCATCCCAAGCAGTGGCTTAACCACTGCGCCAGTGCCCTCCCCCAGAAGATTTTTAAAGTTTTATTTATTTATCTGAGAGACGGAAAGACAGATGGACAGACTGAGAGAGAGAGAGAGCTCCCGTTTGCTAGTTCAGTCCCCAGATTCCCACAGCATCATGGGCTGGGGCCAGGTCAAGGGCTGATGCCAGGAGCCAAGAACAAAACCCAGGTCTGCCATGTGAGTGGCAGGGATTCAGTTACTTGTGCCATCCCAGTTGCCTCCCAGGGTCTTCACTGGTAGGAAGCTGGAACTGGGAACCAGAGCTGGAACTTAAACTCAGGCTCTCCAGTTTGGATGTAGGCTTCTTCACCAATAAGCTAAGTCCCTGCTCCCTAAAACCTGAGGATACTTAGAAAGTTTCAGGTCCTGGAGCATTTTGGATTTCAGACTCTGGGATCAGAGACGCGCAACAAGTAAAGTGGGTGCAAGTCTTCCAGAATCTAGAAATCTCCCAAATTCTGTTAAGGCTTTTTAGTCCCAGGCATTTCAGGGAAGATGTCTTCCACCTGTACTGCATGACATGGTTAACAGCCTTGCCCACGCAGCTACTCACTGAGGCTTGAGATGGAACAGGAGTTGGCCAAACAGTACAAGAGTACTTCAGAGAATTCATAGAAAATTGAATTAAAAGATAAGTTTATTTTGGTACAAGAAATCTGAAATCCATGCATGCAAGGGGTCTTCAGAAGGTTCATAAAAATGCACATTATGGAAACACTTTGTACGAAGTTCCACATTTTTTGCACCAACATAAACTTAATTCAGTTTTCCACAGACCTTTGGAGTACCCCGTGTTAATAAACCTATGTTTCAGCCGGCGCCACGGCTCACTAGGCTAATCCTCCGCCTGCAGCGCCGGCACACCGGGTTCTAGTCCCAGTCGGGGCGCTGGATTCTGTCCCGGTTGCTCCTCTTCCAGGCCAGCTCTCTGCTATGGCCTGGGAGTGCAGTGGAGGATGGCCCAAGTACTTGGGCCCTGCACCCGCATGAGAGACCAGGAGGAAGCACCTGGCTCCTGGCTTCGGATCAGCGCAGCGCATCGGCCGTAGCAGCCATTTGCGGGGTGAACCAATGGAAGGAAGACCTTTCTCTCTGTCTCTCTCTCTCTCTCTCTCTCTCTCACTGTCTAACTCTGCCTGTCAAAAAAAATAAATAAATAAACAAATCTATGTTTCTTCATAGCTGACAGTCACCTGTCCAACCTCAGGAAGAGGGGCTTGCCCTGGCTGGAATAACCGGGGTCCCTTAATGAGGAAGGGACTGTCTCTGCCATGGGTCCTGTAGAGGCTCCTGCGGTGCGGCTGGCCAGCGTGGCTTCAGGCGGGTTCAGCGCCCTGTTGACATTCATAAGGAGCACAGTCTCCCCGCAGCTTATAAAAGAGGTGCGTGGCTGAGAACCACGGTCATGGACGGGCAAGGTCTTCAAAGAGTGCATGGAAAATGCTCACTGAAAAAATACGATTTCAGAATTTTTTGTGCCAACATAAACCTTTCAGTTCCATTTTTCCATGAACTTTTCAAAGTACCCTCATTTTATCAAACACCACCAGGAGTTGAGGGCCCACCACGGTGGCCAGGCCGATTTCTGCTGCGGTTCTCTTCGATGCCCACTGAAACAGATGCTAAAGGGAAGCAAACAGATCGCATGTTGGGTTAGAGGCACACCCACTGTGCACCGTGTACTGGGGTGGGGGTTCCCGTGGGGCCTCGCGGCACTCACAGTCTCGTTCCCCAGGTCACGCTTCACACCGGGCTGCAGGTCCCCGACTTCTACTCCAGCAGAGCGTCAATAGCCTAAGGATGTGCGTGGAGGCGCCAGCTGCCCGTCTCACCTCCGCCTGCGAGAGCCAGGGCGAGGCGCTCAGCCAGCCGCACAGAGAGGTACAGCGAGCAGGCGGGAGAAGGAGAGGCGGGGGAAGACAGCTGGTCCTCCACGGTCTTCACACCCACAGCTCTGCCCTTACCCCTCCACGTCTCCCCACCACTGCCATGCCTGTGTTCGCTTCCATATCCAGAGATTCTAACCAACCACGGACCCAGACAGCCCGCCACGCCACTTCGCCACCCCCAGGTTTTGCTTTGATTTAATTTAAGTTTCTCTGTAGGTGAGTTCTATTTTGCTTCTCGTCCGATCATGTTATTGGTGACTTATTGAACTGGCACTGCCCGGAGAATGTTCTCCCAATAACTATTTTCTTGAGCTTTCTGTTGGGAAAGAGGTGGTAGGGGGAGGTAGGGAAGAAAGAGCTGAATTTGGAGCTTGCAGCTCACTCCCTGGACTGCCCTGTTCCCTCCCATGCAGCGTCAGCTCTCATTATTGGGAGGTGGGCAGAGTGAGCCTAGCGCTGAGAACTTTCACCACCCACTGAAGCACAAAGGTTCAGCCACACAGGTTTAAATCACGCTAGGATCATTAAGATGGCCCCATCATTGGGGCAGGCCTTGCTACGAAATCGGCAAGCCAGGGGACTTGATGATTTGGGACTCCTTTACAAATTTTTAACGGAGAACATACTATGGACCAGGCACTGTGTTTTAATTCAACACTGTGGAGACACAGAGCTGGGTGAACAGGTGCGCTTCCTGCCTCCTGGAGCTTATAGTCTAGTGGGAGAATGAAGCAAAACTAAAATGATTATAAATTTGCGTTTGTAGCAGACAGGAAATAGACAAAGGTCAAAGAAGCTGCTTGGCGAGAGTTTTCATGTTCCCTAGAACAATGGTAAAAATCCACGTATTCTGGCTGTAGCACCAGAAACGGACCAACTCAAGGCCTTTTCCACTGTGTTGTCTTTAATCGTGGTACCTGCTACCATTCATCACAGGGCCTTTCTCTGGCAGAAACGGTGTCAGCATTCGTATGTGTTGATGCTACAACTATGCTAAGCCTTAAAAGTGGATGGCATAAAGGAAACTAGTGACCCGAGGGCACAGGCCCCGTTCTCAGGAACCGGGGGTCCTGGGTGGAGTGGGCACTGTCACACTCTCAGGATACACACGCCATCCCCATGTAACACTCTCTGTGCCTGTCACAGGAAGCTCATGCATTCTGCTGCTACTTACAACCTTACTTCCCGGAGTAGTGCGAACAATGCTGGGAAAACATCAGCTTGCGTGTCAGCCCCATGACGGAGAGCAGAACAGCAGCGCAATGTAGTCACAGTGCTTCTCACTTCCAGACATGGACTTAGCCAAGTGGCCCTTCTGATTCCTTGTCTGACATCAGTCACGTGTTAGGAAAAGTAGGCTCTGGAAAGAAGTTCTGATTAGCTATCCAAATAGTTTCCAGTGAGCTAAAATGTTCACCATGAAAACAAATAATAATAACAAATAGAAGGAAAGGGATAGGATGGAAAAGCTAACAAATTAAAGTTTTTGGGGAAAGTAATATATGTAAATAGCTAATGGTTTACTTCTGTGCTTCCTTTATTTTGATGATTTCTATAGGTTATAATGATTTTCTAGTTAACTGTACCTAATTTATTGAATGGGTGCTATCCTGTTAATGTCCATCTTGGTTTTCCTTGGCTACAACTCTGTTGCGGGACAACACTCGTTGCTATTTGATTTACTCGATGGCTGGGCCGCTGTGGCCTCATAGTTACCCTTGTACTTTACTAAAATCCTCCTGGTAATTAGGTCTCCAGTGACTTGTAACATGTAGCTTACACGGAATCACGGCTAGAGACGCACAATGCTACTGTACTAGAAAAAAAGTCATCCTTTCTGGTGTGCCAATAAATGATTTTTATGAGAGAACAAAATGTCTCTTTTGAATTTCTTAGCCTTTGCCCACTAGTGGTGACAGTTCACCCTCACCAGAACAACGCTGCAGGGACAGTGTATAGCCAGGAAGTCCCCCAGAGCTCAAGAGTAGGTGCCCTTCCACCCATTGGCACGTAGCACTGTCTCCTGATCTTACTGAATCCTAAGTAGTTGTGCAGCGGCCACAGCTGAGATGCTTGGGGAGCTGGGGAGTCTTCCTCTAAGATCTGGGGACATACTTCAGTAAACCTGCTTCTGAAAATGACCACAAATTTGTGCTACCTAGTAGAGTAGCACTGACTTTTTCAAACCTGGCTCCTTTAGCATTTCTTTGTCTAAATAGTACAATGTTTTCAAATCATTACAACATTATTGATTCCCCTTACATTGCTTTTCAAAGGAACTACTTTTATTATTAAAAGAATATGACTCAGGCCGGCGCCACAGCTCAATAGGCTAATCCTCTGCCTTGCAGCGCCGGTACACCGGGTTCTAGTCCCGGTCGGGGCACTGGATTCTGTCCTGGTTGCTCCTCTTCCAGGCCAGCTCTCTGCTGTGGCCCGGGAAGGCAGTGGAGGATGGCCCAAGTCCTTGGGCCCTGCACCCGCATGGGAGACCAGGAGAAGCACCTGGCTCCTGCCTTCAGATCAGCACGGTGCGCCAGCCACAGCGCACCGGCTGCAGCGGCCATTGGAGGGTGAACCAACAGCAAAGGAAGACCTTTCTCTCTGTCTCTCTCTCTCACTGTCCACTCTGCCTGTCAAAAAAAAAAAAAAATGTGACCCAGGTTGCAATCCTCCAGAGAGGACTGGGTGCAGTTGGGAACTGCTTTTGGTGATTGTCCATCCTGATTTTTGCCCATTCTTCCTGCCTCTCCTGCTACTAGGAGATTTTTTTTCTTTTCCCTCTATTTGACCCATCTGTCTCCTTCCAGTTTTGTTCTCTCCATTCACTGCCTACTGGGCCACGTGACACATTTTTTGCTCTTCCCATTGCGATAAGGTTAGTGGAAGTCGGGATCCTTGGCCTCTTCACATAGGAGTGTTTACGTGATTTGCAAGGAATGGTCCTATTTCCCGGAAATGAGATGCTTTTGCTTCTGCTTCTAATGGGTGCATTAATCTTTGGCCCATCTCTTCAACTCACTCGTAAGATAGGGCAGCTTGCCACTGAATTGGAATTTCTAATTATGAATCAAGGAATTATAATAATTAAACAAAGAAGTGCTTGGGTCACACCTTATAATTTTCATGAACATGCAAAAGACACCTGCATGTGTTCCTCAAATATAGGTGCCAGGTATGTCTGCCAAAACTGGTGCTGACGGAAGCCAGGGTCCCATGCCATGGGGGCTCCCTAACTCATGGATTTATTTGAAGAACCAGGCATTGGGATAAACACAGAATGTGGAGTCCTGAGTACTGGAGACCTGATTAAATGCACAAACATCGTTCTGGACTCTTCCATGCATTAATTGCTTCTCCATGCTGCCACAGCTGGGCTAAGAAAAGCTACAGAACTATTCATTTGTACAAGCATGTGAGGCACTCCTCTAAGGAAGGGGGCGGGGGAGGGACCAAAACTTTATCAAATTCCCATTGCAGAATAGATATCACAGAATTAGGTAAAGGCAATGGTTGCATAATCTTGTGAATATAGCAAAACCTCTGAGATGTTTAAGGGAATGGAATATATGGCATGTGAACTATATTTCAATATGAAAAAAAGAGAGAAAAGTTCCATTACAACAACATTCAGAGGATCTCCTAAACAGGAAGCACAGAGCCTGGGGAACACCAGGAGCCCTGTCTTGTGCCTGCTCTTTGCCAGGATGTGCTATAACCTGGTGACTTCGGGGCTGGACAAGACCCTGAGTCCGGCCTCCTTCAAACTGCACCTGCTGGTCTGCTACTCTATCCCCAGACTGTCCCAGTGATTCTTCAGCCCTTGTCCTCTGAGACAAAGCCCAAAGCAGGAGTGCAGGGGAGGGGAGAAAGAATAGATGTGGGGGCCAGCTCTGTGGCATAGCAGGTAAAGCCACCGGCTGCAGTTCAGGCATCCCATGTGGGCGCCAGTTCAAGTCCTGGCTGCTCCACTTCAATCCAACTCCATGCTAATTGCCTGGGAAAAGCAGCAGAAGATGGCCCAGGTCTTTGGGCTCCTGCTACCCATGTGGGAGACCAGGAAGACACTCCTGGCACCTGGCTCTTGGCTCCTGGCTCTGGCTTTGCTCAGCCCCAGTCATTGTAGCCATTTGGCGAGTGAACCAGTGGATGGAAGACCTCTCTCTCTCTCTCTCTCTCTCTCTCTCTCTCTCTCTCCTCTCTCTCTGTAACTCTGCCTTTCAAATAAATAAATCTTTTTTAAAAAATGTGTGTGGTTTAAATGTCTCCCAAAGGGTTCTGTTTTAGAAAATGAAATCCCTAATTCCTATGTTAATGGTATTTAGAGGTGGGCCTTTGGGAGATAATTAGGATGCTATGAGGCCAGGAGGGTAGGGACCCATGGTGGCATCAGTGACTTTACAATAAGGGAGCCCCTGCTGGCACACTTGCTTTGTCTCCCAGTTGCATGCCCTTCATCATGTCAAGATGCAGCGAGAAGGCCCTAACCAGACGCTAGCCCTGTATTCTTGGACTGCCTAGTCTCCGGTATTGTGACTAAATAAACCTCAACTCTTTATCAATCACCCTGTCTATGGATGTTTAATTAAAGCAACAGAAACCCACCAAAGGCAGACTCAGGATCTGATCTGATCCCATGTTCCTCCCTGCTCCCCATGGGCTCTCATTTGCTTCCTCCTCCTGTGGTGGACTTGACTACTGCGGTCCTAGAGTGGACTCCCCCTCCCCTTTCCTCGGGACTGAGAGCAGAGAGAGCAGGAAAGCTGGCCATCATCCAGGAAGCGATTCAGACCAGCTCCTCCACACACTCTGCGATCACACCTCTGCCTGCTCCCATTGGCTACAAATAAACATGCCCCACGAAATCCTAAAGGATTGATATTTTGCTTGGTGCTCTTGCCATTTTTACCCTAAGATTCTCTAGTAACTAACAAAGATAATGAATTATAGTTTCATTAAGAAGCAAGGCAGGGCCGGCGCCGCGGCTCACTAGGCTAATCCTCCGCCTTGCGGCGCCAGCACACCGGGTTCTAGTCCCGGTCGGGGGGCCAGATTCTGTCCCGGTTGCCCCTCTTCCAGGCCAGCTCTCTGCTGTGGCCAGGGAGTGCAGTGGAGGATGGCCCAGGTGCTTGGGCCCTGCACCCTATGGGAGACCAGGATAAGTACCTGGCTCCTGCCGTCGGATCAGCGCGGTGCGCCAGCAGCAGCGCGCCAGCCGTGGCGGCCATTGGAGGGTGAACCAACGGCAAAGGAAGACCTTTCTCTCTGTCTCTCTCTCTCACTGTCCACTCCGCCTGTCAAAAAAATAAATAAATAAATAAATAAATAAATAAAGAAGCAAGGCGGAATGTTATAGTTTAACTATCTGTTAACAACTTAGAAGCCAGCATCTTACACTGTGTGGACGTCAAGCAAAATAAACCACTTTGATGCATGCATAATAAACCAGTGGTTCCCAATCCTGGATAAAAGTCTCTAATAAGAAACATATGTTCAATATGTATTTATACTACACAGCAAAAAGGGTTATAAAGTACGATAAGGCATGTAAACGTGTTTTGTTCTATACAAATGAAAGACACATTAAGTGTAACTATTAAGTAGCCTCTGAACTCTGCACTGTCAGATGATCCTGAGAATAGAAAGAGTAACTTCCCGCATAGCATCCGGCACTGACATCCCCAGTTCTCGTCCAGATTCAAGGTGTGTTCACTGCGTATCCGGGGGCACGTGGTGAAAATTCATAGTGTGCACATTTCTCAACAGGAGATTGTAATGAGATTGCTTTGAGGAAGAAATCAGGTAATGCAACATAAAACACTAAAACCAGTGCCTGGCGTAGAACAAGTGCTGCCAAGTTTAGTGTTATTAATCTGTGGCAATCTGCGAATGACCAACAAGATCCTGAATGAGTGTGGTTACTGATTCTTCCTGTCATCTTCTCGGGCGTGTTCCTTTGGAGTCTGACAAATGTTTGTCCAGTTCTTCTACAAATATTAATAGAAGAATATGGGCACAGTTAAGTCTGAGAAAAAGCAGCACATTGATAAGCTTAACATCCAAATCATGTCAAAACAACGATACGCAAAATGATAATAGTACCGCTGAGATCAACTACAGGATGACTCAAATGTTGCCATTTTAATACACGTGGAAAAGAAAATCACAAGGGAGAAAATGAAGACGGTTTTCAAGTGGTGAAAAATAACTAAGAATTAGTGAACTGAGCAGTAAAACTATATTCTTTTTTTTTTATTTGACAGGTAGAGTTATAGACAGTGAGAGAGAGAGACAGAGAGAAAGGTCTTCCTTCCGTTGGTTCACCCCGCAAATGGCTGCTACAGCTGGAGCTGCTCCGATCCGAAGCCAGGAGCCAGGTGCTTCCTCCTGGTCTCCCATGGGGTGCAGGGCCCAAGCACTTGGGCCATCCTCCACTGCACTCCCGGGCCGCAGCAGAGAGCTGGCCTGGAAGAGGAGCAACTGGGACTAGAACCAGGCACCCATATGGGATGTCGGCACTGCAAGGCAGAGGATTAACCAAGTGAGCCACAGTGCCGACCCCAAAACTGTATTCTTAATCAGCTTAACCACCCCACCTCCCAGGTGTTAAGGTGTTAAGCAGAAGATATTAAACATTAATAAACCAGCACAGAATGCAGATATTTATCTGGTCTTTCGCAAGGAGGGTTAGGTCGCTGTATTTCATGCCAGAGGCTTCTCCGTTCCCTAGAACCCCTCTCCAGCTTCTCTTACATTTGAGGTTCTCCTTTGTTGTCCTCGCCATCTGCTCTCTTCTTTAATTAACTGAACCCATCTTTTTCCTGTCTGAACCTACCTCTAGAATCAAAGATCTATTGATTTATTATTAAGCTGCCATTTAACAAACCGCTTTTAAGGAAAGAAGGAGGTATTAAATATGAACTCTTCTGCTCTGTTTCTTGAGTGTGTTTTCAACGTAATAGTTAATTAGTTTCTGATGAGCAAGTCATCTTCAGTAAATGAGGATCCTAATTGTTCCTACTGTAATGCTGATTTTCACACATAATCTCAATCTGTTTCCCTAATTGCCTGGTGGGCAGCGTGGCTGTAGATGAGAAGAAATAAGTCTCCAGCCTTAGCTGGTGGGTAGGCCGAAAAATGACGAGCAGGTGGAAGTTAATTGCAGCTTCTCAAGAGGTCAGTTTCATGGCTGGCGTTTGGCTGCATCGACAGGCTTTGCAGAATGCACAAACCTGGTGTAGGTACAGTGATACACTGCGACCTGGATGCCAGCAGTAGAATCACAAATATCCTCCTAGAAAGAAATCAGTAAGTCTTAAAATCTCCTGAGGTCCAGCCAAGACCACATGCTGCTATCAAATTCCGCGTCGTCAAGGTTCCAACTGAGACCAAGAATTAAAACGGCATTGTGCAGTCACCACCCGTAAGGCAAACGCTGTGGGTAAGTTGGCTGCCCAGGACCCCAGCCGAGGGGACACTTTTCCCTGATGTTAAGACATGTGAACATCTGCTCTCTGCCTTGGTGATGGGGGTAGAGGATCCCAATGGAGCAATGCACTGAGCTAGCTCTAGGGGTATGGGGGCAGGGAAATCAAGGCCCCAAAGGGAGCTAAAGTTTCCAAGACACAGGGACACCGGAGCACACTCAGCAACAAGAGGAGTCACATGCATTTCGCATGATGCTTTTCATTTTGGTCTCTCCCTTTTTTTCCCTTCAGGAGTCTCATACATCCGGGTTCATATTTAAGCTTCCTGCCTAGAAACTAAAGGAAACTTAATCATCACTGGGGCGTGGTAGAACTTTCAGACACTAGACCACTGAAAACCTCAGTTCTGCAGAACTGCTGGGACTCAGGAGGAGATGTTTCACATTCCGAACCCTCCTGGGGCGAGACTGTCAGTAACAGCAATCCCGTTTTCTTAGGTAATGCAAGGCTGTGTTTGGGTTTTGAGTTTTTCTACTCTTTAGCATCTCTCCAGCTAAGATGCATGTTCTACCATATGTAAAAGAAACTCACCAGCTACTGGTAGAGTGGAGTCCTCGACCTCCACGACACACTGAGATTGTCAAGGGAATTTCAAAAATACTGGTGGCAGGTTACTAACTTAATTGGTCTGGGGTGCGGCCTGAGAATCTGGAATTTTAAAAGTTCTACAGGTGACTCCCACATGCTTCCAGAACCGAGAGCCCAGATGTAACAAATGAGTGGGTGTCATGTCTTCTGGGAGTTGTTATTGGGTGCACCTTTGGAAAAATAATAAGGTGGAGGGTACCATTTCCTCAGTCTGTGATTTTCGTTGTGTTGTTTGCATTGACAGCTAGTAAACATAAGTTGCATTAAGTCCTAATGTTTCAGAAATCAACATTTTATTGAACAGAAATTACCCCAACAGAAATATATACCCACCCCATGAGAAAAGGGGAAAAAGGTGGAAGTGAAGGCCAAATCTTTTTCTTGTCCTATCATCTAAGTGTTGTGTTTTGTTTTGTTTTTTTTTTTTTTTCTGAAAGAGAAATGTACTTTGGATTAACACTATCTGTAGTTGCAGCACTGTGCAGTGGAGCCCGGAACTTCTTACTCCTATCTGGCTACAACCTAATACTGTCAATCAGCCTTTGCCCAACTGTCCCTCCCTGCTTCCGTCCCGCGGCTCTGGTACCCACCATTCTATCACTAACATCTATGAGATCACCTACCTCTTAGACTCCACGTATGAGTGAAATCATGGGACATTGTCTTTATGCGCCTGCCTTGTTTTACTTAACATGGTAACCTCCAGTTTCACCATTCTGTTACAAGTGACAAGATTCCATCTGTCTTTTATGGCTGAAGATAATTTCACTTCATGTCCTTTGGATGTAGACCCAGTGGTAGTATTGCTGCATCATGTGGTAGATCGAATTCCAGTCTGAGGAACCTCCGTACCATTTTCCACATGGCTACACGAGCTGCCATTCCCACCAACAGTGTGCAGGCACTCCCCTTTCTCCACATCCTCACCAATACTGAGCTTTTGTCTTTGAGAAAAGCCAATCTTCCTGGAGTTTTGATGTGCATTTCCCTGATGGTTACCAATGTTGAGCATTTTTTAAATGTACTGTTGGTCATATATATATACATATCTATGTCTTCCTTTGAGAAATATCCATTTAGACCTGTGGCCCGTTTTAAAAATTGGATTATTTGTTTGCTATTGAGTTCCTTATATATTCTGCAGATTAACCCTTTGTCAGGCGTGTAGTTTCCAAATGCTTTCTCCAGTTCTGTGGGCTGTGTCTTTGTTGATTGTTTCCTTTGCTCTTTAGTGTGGTGCCATCAGATTTGTCTATTTTTGCTTTTACTTCCTGTATTTTTCAGGTCTGATCTAGAAAAATCCTTGCCCATTCTAATGTCCTGAAGGACTTCCCCTATGTTTTCACCCAACAGTTTTAATGGTTCAGGTCTCAACATTTAGCTCTGTCATGCATTTTGAGGCAGGCTCACTGCTGCCTGCTGCACCTGTCATCCACCGGTGATGTTGCCTCCCGGCTAAGGCTGCTCAGCCAGGACCACAGAACTCTTCTGGGAACTGAGGCAGCTCCATGGGCTCTGTCTGCAGGCACTGGCCTGGGACCCACGGGATCTGCTCCATGCTGGGTTTTGTCAGCCTGGCACGGAATCCTACAGCATTCCTATGACTCCCAAGGTTGTAGGAGGGGTGACAGAGGCAGCCCCTCAGTACTTGGGCAGGCCCTAGGACGGTCACATCTGTTTCACTGTCGCCGTGCCCTGTAAGATCTTGGGGCTGCACACCAGGCCCGCAAGATGCCAGGGGTAAGCCAAGCCCACCAAGCCCCCTCCACCAGGGCGCGGGTCTCTGCCTGACAGCCCGGGCAAGCCCAGGGCCTCTGTCCACGGGCACTTGTGTCGGGATCCGCCCAGCACGCACAGCACTGACCAAGGCACAGCAGTCCCATGGTCCCTTGCGGTCTGCCCACGGTTGGAGGAGGGTGACAAAGGCAGCCCCTCAGGCCACCCAGACTGGCCCCAAGCTGGTGACACTTGGGTTCTACAGCACCAAGTCCCAACAAAGTTTCGGGGTGACCACAATGAGCCCGACCCTAGCAGCGGTCTCTGCCTGGAGCTACGAGGCTCGGTCTGCGAGCCTCAGCGTGGGGCTGGAGGCCTTCGGGCTTTACCAGTTAGCGGCTCTGCGCTGTAGGCCCAGGTGTGACCTGGCCGGCCTCTCTGCCAGCACCCAGCTTCATAGCGCCTGTGACGGTGCCTCGGCGCATGCGCGGCTGCTCGCGTGCTGTGTCTGCGCGAGCTGGTGTCGGTGGCCATTCGGAGGTGGGGAGTGTCCGGCCAGGTGGCCGCCTGAGGCCCCGCCAAGGCGATTGCAGACAATGCTGGAAATCCAATGACTCTAGAGCAGGTTAATGTTTAAGCTGTTAATTTTATATGGCCTGTGAGTGATGTTAGAAATATCCAAACGGCCCCAGCCACTGAACCCAATCCGAGGGCTGTTTGCAGGAAAGCGGGGTGGATGCTAGGCAGCAAAGCGGTCGGGGCCCTTCCCCACCCTGAGTGCTGGGCTTCCTCCCGCATCGCAGTTACCGCAGGCAGCCTCGGGAGGCTTCCGGCAAAGTCAGGGACAGGTTCCGTCTTCGCTCCGCTGCGAATGAGCACGTGCGGCTGCCATCTGTGCCTTTCAGTTCTGTGATGTTTTCTTCCTTACAAAGGAAACGCTTGAAAAAGGGCGGGAAGCAAGGAGGCATTTGCAATCTGCAGAGAATACACAGCGAGGACGGAAATTCTTTCCAGGATTCACTCTATGTCTCTGACATAATGCTGACAACCGATTGGGCTCACAAGGCAACAGAGCTTCCACACTCAGCAGAAGCTGAGGCAAGGCCAATTTACTTGATGTGTCATTTCCAAGAGATGAATACAGAAAGCTCTACCTCGAAGCTTCTTGAAGCAGAGCTGGGAAATTGTTCTCAGGACATACAGGTCCACACAGCTGGTTTTAAATAAACAAGACCAGTTTCTTTCCTTGAGTCTTACTGATCTGAAAATCTATCTCAGCACCGATCCTGGGGGGACAAAAACTCGGTTCCCAGCCCTGGACAACAACCACTGACTAGAGAGGTACGTAGACACGTAAGGAACCTCAGTAGCTTTAGTTTGTCATAAGCTGGAGGTAATAAAACCTAGGTAACATGGTCGTGAGAATTAAGTATGAGAACGTGGAGTTCCTAATACAGTGCCTCCCTGGGGTTCTTCTTGATTAAACTCCTGTTTATCCCTGCAGTGGAGATGGTCAGCATAGGATTCAATATGCATTGCTATTATTACATTCACAATAAGGACATGGAAGGGGAAAATGGCTCACAAAGGGTTTTGACCTTGAATAACTTTAAGAGATTTACTGTTACGTTCCTTGGGTATAGTTCACGCTAAAGCTTCCTAGGCCAGGTACTGACAATAATACTTGCTACTGCTCCCTTAGGTATCAACCCGTGTGCCAGGAGCTGCTGTAAGCACTTTGTGCCTTTTGCCTCATTGAATCTGTCCAGCCACCTGAAACTGGCATTCCTATTCCTCCCTCCCCACCCCCATTTGTAAAATGAGGAAGCTTTAGCAAATAAAGGTTGTGTATTTGTCCAGGGTCACACAGTTGGCGACACAGCTGAGATCTGAGCCCTTCTCATGTCGGGTCTGGTTTCTTCACTCTTAAACCGCGCCCTTCTGCCCTCCGGATGGCACAGAGGTCCCAACACACTCATCCCCCAGTGGGCTGTTCACTGCTCTTCCTCCTTTCCATGCAAAGTGCTTCCACTCGGGATCTGGAGTGACAATTTTGAAAAATATTTATTTATTTGTTTGTTTATTTATTTGAGAGGAGGGGCAGAGAGAGAGAGATCTTCCATATGCTGGTTCACTCCCCAATTGGGCACAATTGCTAGGGCCATGCCAGGCCGAAGTCAGAAGCCAGGAGCTTCTTCAGGATCTCCCATGTGGGCATAGGGGCCCAGGGACTTGGGCCGTCTTCTTCTGCTTTCTCAGGTGCATTAGCAGGGAGCCGGATCAGAAGTAGAGCAGCCGGGAGTCGAACCGGTGCCCAGATGGGATGCTGGCACTGCAGGTTTGGCTTAACCTGCTACACCACAGCACTGGCCTGGAATAACAAATTAAACCTCCAGTCTTAAAACTTTGTGTGTTTTGTGGATATTCAAAAAACAGATTTTAAGAATTGGCAAGTTTTGAGTTGTACACGATAGTGATGTGCATGACTGTGAGTTCTTTGGGTACGTCCTCACTTATTTCATGTGCCCTTTTTTCCCCTGTAAACAAGTTCATGGATACGTGAACAAACCCGCTACAGCTGCCAGTGCACGCACACCGTTCACACTTGATATTGACCAAGGCTCCTTGGCTGTATCTGTTCACTAGAATGGCAGGAGGCAGCATAGAGAAGACAGCAGCTGGGAGAAGGGGGAAGTAGGTGCTTTTGAATTCTCCAGAATAGGTTGAAATGGTGTATGTCTAGGACTTGGCGAAATCCCAGTGGAGAACTGATGTGCCTGCAGCCTGGCTCCGGCCTCCGGGTCACCGAGGTGATGTATGGAGGTGCTGCTCCTGGGCTCTGCTTCCCCTCGTGTGTTGGGGGATGCAAACAAGGCCAGCCCTGGGCAGAATTCCAAGGTAAGCAAGGTGCCTCCTAGGCACTCTCTCATTTTCCTTTATATGTGCACCGCTTCCCACCAGGAATTCAACATCCAAGTGCAGAAAGCTTCCAGAAGCTACAACTTACCCTGTGCCGCCACAGCCATGTTCACCCCAGCCTCTCCTCCGTTTTCCTCTTTGATCAAACCTCCCACTCCTCAGTGCCTGAGTTATGTTGCCCCCAGTAGCAACCCCTAACACAGTTTCTTGTAATTCCCCACTAGGAAATCCATAAAAACCTTAGAAAATACTCAGAGTTTCAGCAGCATTAGAAATCCTGTCAGCCTGGGCACGGCATTACGGAACCAGGGGTTAAGCTGCCACCTACAACACCAGCATCCCGTGTGAGCACTGCTTCTAGTCCTGGCTACTCCACTTCCAATCCAGCTCCCTGCTAATGAGCCTGGGAGGGCAATGGAAGATGGTCCAAGTCCTTGGGCCCCTGCACCCACATGGGAGACCCAGAAGAAGCTCCTGGCCCCTGGCTTTGGATCAGCTCAGCTCCGGCCATTGCAGCTATTTGGGGAGTAAACCAGTGAATGGAAGACCTCTCTCTCTGTCTCTGTCTCTGTCTCTTCCTCTCTCTCTCTCTCTCTTTCTCTCTGCCTCTGCCTCTCTGTAGCTCTGCCTTTCAAATAAATAAATGCATCTCTTTAAAAAATTTAAAAATTAAAATAAAAGGTCCACCTCTCTCGAGACCATTACTTTGAGGTCTGCACTCCCAGCACACAAGCCTTTAACCCACTCAAACCGTGTCCAAACATCAGTAGACAGTAAAGCAAGATGGACAAGGTTGATTGTGAATAAGCCATCACCAAAGCAGCACGATTCTCCCAAGATTTCTTCTAACCTGTAAACAGGTAGTGCTGTCAGTAAGGACAGCTCTAAATTAAAAAAAAAAAAAAAAAAAAAAAAAAAAAGCTCGATTTCATCACAGAGTAGCAATTCTTTTTAAGCTTTCCTTTGCTTCATGCAGCGACTCTTTCTCCCCTTGGTTCTGTCCTGCCTATTCATGGCCTGCTTGCCATGGTGTTGGTTTTCCTCAGACGCGCAGCCATGCTTGTGCTGGGGGGTACTGCACTGTGTTAGCAGTTGTGATTTTTCCCACAAACCAGTGGGATTGTTCTGCAATTCAGTGGCTCAGAGCAGAGGAAGATGTGGCCTGAACAGGTAGCTCTTCCTCCAGTAAGGTTGTCCCAGCTCCCTGGTGGCTAGAAGCTACCTGGGACATTCCATCATTCTGCCAATACCTCCAATCACAGAGCTTCCCACTGGAGGGGCTCCAGACTGAACGAATGGCACTGCCAGCTCATGCTAAGGGTCCTCGTGAAAGCAGAGGTGGTGACTCATCTCATAACTTTGTTTCCCTGTGGTCTTTGTGTCCCGGGAACCCCAAGACCACCCTCATGCTTGGGGATTAGCCAGGACTCAGGACTCCACCATAGTCACATTTGTAGTCACAGTTTGTCATAGTTGGAGGATAGAAAGTGAAATCAGCCTGGAAAATGGGCGTGGGGCAAAGTCAGGAGGAAGCCGGGCACGTGGTGCTGGAGCCCTCTGGCCCCAGTGCCCTCCCGCAGCCCGTGGCGCCACGTGCGAAGTACCGGCCGCTAGGGAAATTCGTCAGATCTTATGCCTAAGGATGTTATGGAGGGTTGGCCAGATAGGAGCCCTCTGCCCAGCACATACCAAATTCCAGGCTCCCAGAAGGGCCGCAGGTGTTTGTGCAAACAATCTAGGCACAGAAAACCAACCTTAGCAACTAGGGAGTGCGCCTCATCGGCGAGCCTGTGCAAGCCAGCTGTCCAAGGACAGTTGTACACAGTCACCCAGAGATCTCTCTCCCTAGCACCAGCCCCACTACTGCGTCTGGAGTCCCTGTAGGTTCTGTTGTTTAAGCCCGAGGGTTGGAGCCTCTCTGAAGGGCTGCAGGATTTCTCTTTCCATGTAGTTTTGCCATCAGCGCACAAAAAGTTCTCAAAAATGGGTTGAACAAAGAAAGTATCCCAAAAAATGAGTAATACAAGAAAGAAAGTATCCCAAAATATTAAGACAGGATGATGTGACTACATGTCATCACTAATTTTAGATGCTTTCCAATTTTTCTAGAATAATAATAATGATGCTCTGTTTTATCATTAGAAAATAAGTAAAAAGAATTTTTGGTTTCCAACACATCATCTAAGTGACACTCCTGTTGAGGAGATGCAGAATCTGAAGGGCTGGGCCAAGATCCACTGGATTACTTTGTCCCCAGTGATAGTTCTGGCCAATGACAGTCTGGATAAGGCCCATGTCACCAGGAGCTTGTCTCCTGGGACTCAAACGTTGCACTGTTCCCTTCCTTCCAGTCTTCATAGCTCAGATTCATGGAACACACTAGTCAGTGCTTAAACCAGAGTTTTCAACGTATTAACTAAAAATAAAATTGGAAGACCCACTGGGGTTTCCCACTCTCAAATGCGGTCAGTGCTATAGACTGTGAGTTCTGCCAGCGATGTCTAGCTATCTGCACTGAGACAGAAATAGGATTTGAAAAAATTAAAAGCATCACTTGCTAGGGTTAATATTAAAAGTTAGCTTGCAGGAAGGGGTGTCCCAGATCTATTCTAGGCAGCAGTGGAAGACTGTCCCACAAGAATGTTAACTTGACTTGAGCAATGCAATACAGTACATTGCTTCCACGTGTGGGAACTAGTGAACTAGTGAGGAGCCAGTACTGATAAGCATCCCAGTGTCAGTGCCCAGCTACTCTAAGCAATGCCAGTTCCTTGTCCCCAGCCTCCCAGCCAACTACATTTTGTTCATTGCTTCTACTCCTTTACTTCAGAAGAATGTGTGTCTGTACTCAAATATCAGAGTCCATTTTTGGTGGCTTTAACAGACTGCCTGAAGCACGGAGTCCTTTGTAAAGAGAAATGGTTTATTCAGTTCACAGACTTGGAGGCTGGAGGCCTGGGAGCAGGCAGCCTCCCTGGGTTAGCCTCTGGTGGGCCTGGTAGCTGCCTCACAAGATGGTGGATGAAACAAACACATGAAAAAATGTTCAGGCTCACTAGCCATCAGGGAAATGCAAATCAAAACCACAATGAGGTTTCACCTCACCCCAGTTAGAATGGCTTTCATACATAAAACAACAAACAACAGATGCTGGTGAGGATGTGGGGGGAAAGGCACACTAATCCACTGTTGGTGGGAATGCAAATTGGTAAAGCCACTATGGAAGACAGTTTGGAGATTCCTCAGAAATCTGAATATAGCCCTACCCTATGACCCAGCCATCCCACTCCTCAGTATTTACCCAAGAGAAATTAAATTGGCAAATAAAAGAGCTATTTGCACCTCAATGTTTATTGCAGCTCAATTCACAATAGCTAAGACATGAAATCAACCTAAATACCCATCAGGAAGACTGGATAAAGTAATTATGGGATATGTACTC